ACCTATCTATACAAAATTCCTAACGCCTCCTAACTCTATCCTTTAATCTATTTCTCACTCTTTTTTTATACCCATCCCCTTTCTCTTAATTCCTCCCACCGTACTCCACCTATTTTCCCTCTACACTAATAATGATTCTGCAAAGAAATGATGAATAAAATACGCGTCTACCGAAAAAAAGAGGGTCCCTAATAACTTATCAAAGAATCTAGCATACCGTCATTCTTTCCAATTACTATGTACAAGAAGTAAAAAAGTTTTACCATAATAAAGAGCTTTTGCTATTAAAAGTTAACCACTACTAGCTGAAACTTATCCAAAAATTTGAACAGCTTTTTAATAATCCGAAACGACCCTATTATGAAAATAATAAAATTATCCGCATAAGCTCAAATGAGACAAAGACAAAAGTACCACATCTAAAAGAACAATTTAGGATCCATTCTAAAATATTGATTCAAACCACGAAATAAAAATCCTGGTGTATTCAATAAAGAACCACCAAGGATGTAGACCTTCGAGTGTATGCTGAAGCCTCTGCTCGACGACGTTAACCTGCCGGAAGAACTGAGAATCCACCAATGATGTAGACCTTTTCAAAGGTTGTACTGTCGAAGCCCTGCTCGACAACGTAAACCTGTGTGGAATAGGTCAGGAGAATCCACCAAGGATGTAGACCTTTCTTTGAGCTTATATTCGGAGCCTCTGACTCTGACGACTTAACCGGTGAAGAGTCGAGAATCCCACCAAGGATGTAAGACCCTTTCCGAATTGTATGTTGAGCCTTTTGCTCGACATGAAACCTGAGTTGAAAGAGTCAGGAAATCCACCAATGTACTTCTAAGACCCTTCCATACGGTTGTAGTCGGAGCCCTCTCAATGACATTACCTATGGAAGAGTAGAGAGAAGCCACAAGTATGTGAGACCTATTCCTGAGGTGTAATGTCAGAGCCTTTGCTCGACGACGTTAACCTGTGTGGAAGAGCTCAAATCAATCCCTTGGGATTAATTTCTTGATTAGAGGGGAAAACACCGCGTATATCCCGAATCAAAGTGAAAGATTCGTCTATACTTTTAGTAACCTTAACTACCTTTTTGAGTTGAAGATCAAACTTGCCTGAGTTATAAGTATAATTCCAAGTAGGGACCGTACACAGTTTTGAAATTTATCGGAACTCCTTTATTACCGAGAGTTTCCTTAAATATTGTCTTTGTTTTAAGAAGTCTTGGAGGGATCTTCTATTGACTAAAATTGAATTAAGGTTCCCCCCAGGTTCTGACTGATCCATTAAATTACGCAATATAATAGCAGTCGAAATAACCTTTTGAGGTTGACCAAAATTTCCCCCAATTGCTGAATCACTTCCCACAGACGGGCCAAACGTTTCGTCCTATAATAGCGCGGCAGTAGGAGAAATATACAATTAATCTTAGCATGTACGAAGATCCATCACACAATCAATAATTGATGAGGGTAGCGTTCATAAGAGAACACCAAAGTTTTACGTGGATAAACCCCTGAAATGGGGAAAACACAGTGCCTGCCCAGTTTTGAATGAATCCACTGATTTTAGCTCGGTCATTACAAATAGCCCATTCCTTAGGAAGAAGCTTGATAAGTGCAAGCAAATGTACATCATAAATTGCAATTACATTGTAGAGTACCATATAAGGTTTTTGGCCTGATAGACGTATCGGCAGCGAACCGGGGTCAGACAAGACCGTTGTCTTGATGGAGTTCAGAAAAGGACCATCCCTAGCGACAAAGGCCTGAAAGGGACTAGGTCGATAGAAAACTGGTCTGAAGACTGTCTTGGTGATGATAGTCGATACAGACCTAGAGTGATTGAACCTGAGGACCGTAGGCGTAGGAGATGGGTCTGAAGTACTTTGCTGGTGATGAGGTCGAAGACCTAGATAGCGACGAAGGCCTGAAGGACCTGTTATGCGTAGGACAAGGAGTCCAGGTTACTCCTTGTCACTTGGAAATTCGCGATGTGATGTCGGCCTGTTGGTAGGATGTCGGTCTTAAGCAGGAGTCAGTCTTCAGACTAGGACGTCGGTATCTTCAGACAGTGACGTCGGACTGTAATGTCGACCTTAAAGCAAGTTGGTAACATGATAACTCCGCGGTGGTGTTCCGCGATGGCTTCGGTGGTGGTCCGCGAGCGTTCCATATGCAGCAGTACGCGGATTTCCTGGTGGGCTTCTCGGTGGTTCTGCAGCCGTCTTGAGATGAAGCTTTCCCTCCTGCTTCCTCCTCTTCTTCTCAGGCCTCGCCTTTATGAAATAGGATATTTATAGTTTCTGGAGTTGCTGGCCCGTAAATAGACGTGGATCAGGGGCGAATAGGAGGGTTGAATGGTACGATCTGCATATGAACCGAACAGACGTTTGCACCGTTTGTTTGGTCATTGTAATTCTTATTGATGTCGAAATTCTAGTGATCTTGGGCTCGTTGATTCGTATCGTTGAGCCCTCGATTCAATAAAAAGTTCTCGCTCAAAAATCGGAGTCCGTTGTTTGGTAACCCAAATAGTGGTTTGAACCTTCCAACAGTGCTTTAGATCCATGATTTGGACCCATTTGGGCTCGGATTGGGTTGATCTTGGTGTCGTTGGGTTCGTATTTCCGAGACGCTCAGTTTGACTATAAGCTCGTTGAAATCGGAGTTTATG